CAATCCTTTCTTAAAAAAAAAAAAAAAAAAAGTTGGATTTTGGTAGCGCTGTAAAATAGTCAAAGGGACAGTTCACCCAAAAATTTTAATTTAGTTGTGAAATGGTTCTTAGTGATTCTTACAATGCAGGTCAATGTCTACCGTCACTTGAGAGTCCAAAAAATTAATACCCATGGCTCCTGATGATATATTGAGGTCTTATGAAGTGAAATGATCAGTCTGTGCCTGCTACTGTAGCTACAGTATGCAAACTCTCGCTATAGGTTGAGTTGGAAAGAGATTGAAGAATCGCTAGATATTTGGCAGAGTGCTAAATGTTTTGATGGAGCCTGGGAGGCTCAAGTTACACTTTTGGGGGAGATAAACCCATGAATGGCAATGGCATACTTATAAGTAGTCAATGAACAATAAACCGGGTTAAGACAATGTATTTTGATGCAACAAATCTTACACATTTTACAATTAAATAGTGCTGTGAAATTATAAGACTGAAGAAACATGTCATAGATTGATTTTGGGTCATGTTTTGCTTACTCTGTTTCAGGGCAGTATGGGTGTGTGTCCCCTGCTCCTGCTACTCCACGTAGCCTTTGTGGCCCTCAGCACGGCCCAGACACTCCCTGACCCTTCAGGTAAGGCACTTTTATGGAGCACAAAAGCCTTGGTTAACAGTCGCTTTGCCTCCATTAGAAAAAACAAACTAATTACTCTCTAGTTATTTTTTGGTGCTGGTGCATTTCCTGCAGAGTCACCTTTACTCCACATTGGTCTTGGCTTGTGAATATTAAAACTTTCAGTAACTTATGTCAGCTTATTCAATTGAGATAAGTTGTATTTAACCTGGAAGATTCCTATACAGGAGGTTAAAGGCAAGCCTACTTTAAAGTATATGAAGGTGTACCGTGGCAATCCATCTTCTCCCAGTAAAAATGTAAAATATTTTGAGGCCCAGAAAATTACCCAGGAATTGCCTGGAGGAAATGGCATTTCCATACACACCTAATTTTGTTTTGTGAGATACTCAACGACGTTCACCTGTTAGTGTTGAGATCCCAAACTTCCTTTAAACATACACTACCTTTTAAAAGTTTAAGGTTTATAAGAATTTTAAAATGTTGTTGAAAGAAGTCTCTTATGCTCACATAGGCTGCTTTTATTTGATCATAAATACAGTAAAAAAAACAGTAATATTTGAAATATTTTTACAATTTAAAAGAACTGTTTTCTATTTTAATATAGTTAAAAATGTAATTTATTCCTGTGATGGCAAAGCTGAATTTTCAGCAGTCTTCAGAGTCCCATGATCCTTCAGAAATCATTCTCAAGTGCTGATTTGCTGCTCAAGAGACATTTCTTATTATTGTCTATGTTGAAAAGTTGTGCTGCTTGACATTTTTGTGGAAACCGTGATTTTTATTTTTAGGATTCTTGGATGAAAGCTTTAAAATCTCTCTTTCTCAGGTGCAGTCCTAACCGCCAAACCTACACACCCTCCTCCCACATCACCCGCTATAGTCACCCGGGCACCCCCATCATCCACCCCATCTGCAGCACCATCTCCTGAACTTTTTGTAACAACAGGACTCAATGACTCTGTGGGCGTGGTGACCCCAGAGGTTCCCACAGCCCCTCCTGTTGTGGCCGTCCCTACCGAGGCACCACCCGCCCCCCCAACCCCATCTGCCGCGTCCCCGTCCCTCACCACTGTCAAGACTACAGTTTTGGCTACAGCAGAGCCCCCTAAACCTGACCCGACACCCACTCAGTCCACTTCAGAGCCTGAGACAGACACTCCGTCGGCCCCTACAGATGCCACCACAGCTGACATCAGCAAGCCTCCAGGTACCATTTGTGTTTTTGTTCATTTTGAAACAGATTGAACCGTTATTTTATCCTAGTCTTTTCCAACTATTTCCGGTGTGTTTTCTGTCATTCTATGTTAATCTGTTGCTGTTGCGTCTTTCTGTTTTTCTCATGTAATGAAGATGATGATGGGCAAGGTGAGTTTCAGTTACCCTTTTCGCTAAAATTTCATGCAGAATGAATTTTTCTTTTTAGGTTTACTAGTAGCCATCTATTACACAACTGTTAGGAGTTTTTTTTTTTTAAATGGCTGTTGCAAATATATTAGGCCCATGGTCAGTTTAAAACCGATATACAGTCAATGATGTCACACACTTACATTTTAAGATATAAAATAATAAATAAAAATAAATAAATAAAGCAAAAATAATAAATGAATTAGGAGTTCATAAGTCTCTTATGCTCAACAAGATTGCATTTATTTGATCAAAAATACAACTAAAACTGTAATAGTATGAAATATTATTATAATTCAAAATAACTTTTCTATTTTAGTATACTTTAAAATGTAATTCATTCCTGTGATGGCAAAGCTGAATTTTCAGCAGTCATTTCTCCAGGCTTTAGTGACACAGAAAATCATTGTAATATGCTGATTTTGTGCTCAAGAAAAAATTGTATTATCAGTGTTAAAAACAGTTGTGCTGCTTTTAATTTTTTGTGGAAATCATGACTTTTTAAAGGATTCTTTTTATATTTATATATATATATATATATTTTTTTATGTTTTTAAAACAGTTCTATATTTGTAACTTTTCATTTTGTCCTCAATTCAGATGACACTGCGGTCATGGCGGTGATGGTTGCCCTGTCCTCTCTGCTGGTCATTGTCTTCATCATCATCGTCCTGTATATGCTCAGGTGAGTCCCAGTTTTCAGAAACTTTCAGCTGTTCATTCAGTACAAAAAGTGCTCACTGCATAGATTCCAGCTCAACTGCATAAAGACAAAGTTATAAGTTACAAGCAAAGCATAGAAGAACCAGCATACACATGCACAGTCGTAATAGAACAGATGAGAGTTCAGAAAGCTCCATTCATCAGGAAACCTACAACGGCAGCAGGGAGCCATGAGGCTGAATTGTCCAGTTACCATGGTAATGATTGGCTTTTTGTTCCGCTCCGTTGTTGCAGGTTTAAGAAGTACAAGCAGGCAGGGAGCCACTCCAATTCCTTCCGCCTGACCAATGGCAGAGCTGACGACACAGGTAGTAGTAATAAGAGACAGTGTCTTTCTGTGACCGTTCTTGGCCATTTTTGTCCTTAAAAGTAGCGAATATATTGAAGTTAACATTAAAAGTCATTGGTGGATGTAATACTAGTGTCAGCTTTTTATTTTACTTGTTGATTGCGTGATTTGTGAATCACATGAGAGCTTTTTAGCTTTTTACCTTGAATTGTACTGTGTTGCCCCCTACTGGTCATCCTGAACACAACATGGATAAAGGACAAATTGCAAGTCATTCTTAAAATATTTAATTTACAAAAAAAAAAAAAAGTTTTTGTCTTTAACATATATTTTTTATTTCTCTTTATCCACTCCATGTTTCTTCCCTGTTCCTTACACCTCCTTTCCTTACACCATTTAACAGAACTTCAGAGTGTGCCGCTATTGGCTCGCTCTCCTAGTACCAACAGGAAGTACCCGCCCCTTCCTGTCGACAAGCTGGAGGAGGAAATGAACCGTCGAATGGCCGATGACAATAAACTCTTCCGGGAAGAATTCAACGTAGGTGCACAAACAAACACATAACCGTGGTGCTCTAAATCATGAATGGACAGATCAGAGTCCTGACTCGAAATTTCACCATCTTTAGAATGACCAAAAAAAGATGGGATATAAACTACATGAAATTTCCCAAAAAGAGCGCTTTTAGGCAGATACATTTGTGGTGTTGGTGTGTATCACCTCGTCATGCTCTCGGCCCATGTGAACTTGTAGGATTGACTGTTTCTTTGCTCTGCAGGCGTTGCCTGTATGTCCTATTCAGGCCTCATGTGATGCTGCCTCGAAGGAGGAGAATAAGGAGAAGAACAGATATGTCAACATCCTGCCCTGTAAGGCTTTCCCACAACTTATCTCCAAACCAGAGCTGATAACGCATGCTTTTACCAGAGCTCCAAGGCCTACAAAGGAGTTCATTATGTGAAAATGGCTGTAATAAATGTAACAATAATGCTGTGATCCTTATAATCTTTTTTCATAGTTTATCAGTCAAATTTCCCTTTTCATCCCTTTTTGTTTTGTTTTTCACACCTTTTCTCAGATGATCATTCTAGGGTGCATCTGACTTCTCTGGAGGGTGTTCCTGACTCAGACTACATCAACGCTTCCTACATAAATGTAAGACCCCAAACTCTAGTCATAAGAAGTAGGAGTGCACTGCTACTAAAATTCTGGCTGATCATTTTTATTTTAAAATTGAATACAATTTTGTTTAAATTAATTAAAAATAAATCCCTAAAACATAAAATTAGTTTTTTTAAATGCTACAAGTAAATTTTTTTATGGTTTTACTTTTGTATTATTACATAAACTATTATAGTATTTATTCATATTTTAAAATTGAATTTTGTTTTTATCCATTCAGTTTTTCAATTTTATTTTAGTTAAAATTTTTATAATTTAGTAATGTGCTAATTACAGTGTCTTTTTTATTTTCTAGATTTCTATTTGGCTTTAATTTATTTTTTACTGAGTTTGAGTAATTTTACTGCTTCAGCTTAAACTTTTTCAGTTAGATGCCAAGGCAACCTTTTTAATTTTCATTTAAATTTAAGTTTGAAGTTTTTAATCTAATATGTATATTTTATTTTATTGCAGCTTTATTTCAATTACCAAAAATTATTTGAATAATTTTAGTTTTAGTTAATAATATCAGCACTGAAGGTGGACATCACAACATTATAATGTACAATATGAAAAACTGATATTTTGAGATTTGTTGAAGATTACAATTAACTTGTTTCTGTTTTTTTTTTGTGTGTTTTTAAAGATTAATTTTAAGTGAGTGTTAGATGTAAGGTCATCTAAATGTAAAAAAATAGGGGATATGAGCATGTATGCTTAAATTCTTAATAAGAATCCATTATAAGAAGCGGTAAAACTGAAATGAACAGGACCTTGCCACTTTTTCACAATTTAAAAAAAAAAAAATTTTCTTCAGGGATACCAGGAGTGAAGATTACAATTAACTTGTTTCTGGGTTTTTTTGTGTGTTTTTAAAGATTAATTTTAAGTGAGTGTTAGATGTAAGGTCATCTAAATGTAAAAAAATAGGGGATATGAGCATGTATGCTTAAATTCTTAATAAGAATCCATTATAAGAAGCGGTAAAACTGAAATGAACAGGACCTTGCCACTTTTTCACAATTTAAAAAAAAAAAAATTTTCTTCAGGGATACCAGGAGAAAAACAAATTTATTGCTGCACAAGGTAAAAATGGCTTTAATTAATGACTTTCATAAATATATAAATACTTCTGCATTTATTAACCAACAAAAAAAGCTAAACAAGATTTTTCATTGCAGGACCGAAAGAGGAAACGGTTAATGACTTCTGGAGGATGATCTGGGAACAGAACACTGCCACCATCGTCATGGTAACCAATCTAAAAGAGAGGAAAGAGGTAAATGCCACAAGAAATCTATTAAATGTAGGCTAGTGTCAAAGGAGAAGTAAGCTGATCTTTGATTTTACAACCTCAGCTCTTATCGCGGTCTCACATGATGGATTTAGAGTGCAACTTTGAGGAAGATGGCCATTAATAAAGATGTATGATCACTGCAATGATGATGATTATGATAGATTGTGCTTCATATCCACAGTGTAAATGTGCTCAGTACTGGCCCGACCAGGGATGCTGGACCTACGGAAATATCCGTGTGTCAGTGGAGGACATGATGGTTCTGGTTGACTATACCATCCGCAAGTTCTGCATTCAGCAGGTAAGAAGTAGTGGTTGACCAATATACACTGAACAAAATTATAAACGTAACACTTTTGTTTTTGCCTCCTTTGTCATGAGCTGAACTCAAAGATCTTAAGACTTTTTCTATGTACACAAAAGGCCTATTTCTCTCAAATATTGTTCACAAATCTGTCTAAATTTTAGAGTGGCCTTTTTATTGTGGCCAGCCTAAGGCACACCTGTGCAATAATCATGCTGTCTAATCAGCATCTTGATATGCCACACCTGTGAGGTGGATGGATTATCTTGGCAAAGGAGAAGTGCTCACTAACACAGATTTAGACAGATTTGTGAACAATATTTGAGAGAAATAGGCCTTTTGTGTACATAGAAAAAGTCTTAGATCTTTGAGTTCAGCTCATGAAAAATGGGGGCAAAAACAAAAGTGTTGCGTTTATAATTTTGTTCAGTGTATTTGACAGGTTGATTAATTGGTTGTTTTTTGGCATTTTGAAATTATTTGAACTGGATGATAAATGTACTCATTTGGCCAATTAAAAGAAGTGCTAGTGCCCTCTTGTGTCAAAATATACCAATAGTCTTAACCACTGATAATGTGGTTTTTTGGGTGATTCTTCAATTAGTGCCAGTTTTAAAAAACAAAAATCAGTCTTCTTTAAACAGTGTTCACACATTTCACGAATAAGGATCTTATCATGGTCTTGATAAACCTTCACTGGATTTTAATGACATCTTTAAATTTTGGAGAATTACATGAATAAGGCTCAGACTAACACAGCAACTTGACTAGCATTCAGTTAAGTGTGAATTGGTAAAAGCAAAGAGAAGTTGACAGTATGATTGGTCTGATGGTAATGGACAGTGATTCTTTGTTATAAGAAAAGTTGGTTACACTTTACTTGAAGGGGTGTGCATAAGACTGACATGACACCTTCATAATCATGACATGACACCTACATAATCATGACATGACACATGTCATGAATATGAAGGTTTTTTTATGCATGTTTATGACAACTGTCATTAAGTGTCATTCGCTCAGTTATGTAATTTTTAATGCAAAGATGACATTGTTTGAGATGTCTTTGTTATGGGCTATGGTTAGGGGTAGGGGTAGGGTTAGGTTAGGGTTAAGTCAAATAATGTCATATTTGCATTAAAAATGACATAACTGAGTGAATGACACTTAATGACAGTTGTCATAAACATGCATAAAACCTCCTTCATATTCATGACATGTGTCATGTCATGATTATGAAGGTGTCATGTCAGTCTTATGCACACCCCTTCAAGTAAAGTGTTACCGACCCTTCTTCCTCGACTGGGATCGTTTAGAGCCCTTTGAAGCTGCATTTAAACTGCATTTTGGAAGTTCAAACTCGGGG